AACAAGGGAGGGAGAGAGAGAGAGAGAGAGAGGGAGAGAGAAATGAGAGAGGTTTGAGGGCTCAATGGGCAAACACAGTGTCCTGATGTGCTAGTGCATGCTGTTTGTCTGGCAAGTTTTTGCGATACCACGGGATTCTTTGAAGTTTTGGGTAGAAGCTGTTGCTGCTGCTGTTTGTGTATCTTTTAGCCGCCACAGGTTCTACTTTTCCTCATTTACCGTCTCTTAAGGTAATGTATGGGATGTGAGTTGGGATAAAATACTATTAGTGTCTTTGCTGTTCATTTTTGTGTATTTACCTCGAAAGTGTCAGTGTGGCAACTAATGATTTGTCTAAAGTTTAAGACGTGTTCACTAACATTTCTTAATTTGGTTCATATTTTCTCTTTTAGTCTATCTTTGCTTAAATCTTGATGCTATCATCCTACTCTCCCTGTCTTTATTAAAGTCTTCTTAGTGAAATGCTAAAAGATAAAAAACATATTTTTAATATCCAGTAATGACTTGTGACTTTAAAGTTTATACCATAGTATCATAGCACAGTTTTTTAAACTTTGATTATTATGTACATGTTGCGTCCTCATGTATTTTTTTCAGGTGATTAAATGTGTCTCCACATGCAGGGTCAGATTGAGTATTTCATCAAGCCATTTATCGTTGTTTATTTTTCTCTACCTTCTATTGTGAGGCAGTGTGACAACTATTGCTTGTGTGCTTTATGGATAACCGTAAGTAAAGTGTTAGTCAAGATTGTTCTGTTGCATCAATTTGTATAAAAATTAATCAATATTTCACTTCATCCTCATGTTTAAGTCCCAACCTTTCAAGTAGAAATTGTCAGATTTCCGTCAACTTGAACAGTTCTTGTTAGACCAGAAGGAGCGTACTGTACTTATGTCAGTCTCAAGGATTCAGGTGGAAATCATTGTTGTGATGAAGAACTTATGAGTGCTCTCATCAGGAAGTAAAAGTGTAGTTTGTATAAAAAAAATGTTTGTGTTGAACAGAAGATTGGCCAGTGTTTCTTTTCCTCCTCAGAGATCAGGTACATGACAAAATCTTGGTTGCGTGGTAGTCAGATGTTAGTGTGCAGTGAATGTCATGCAAAACTGTTGGACACTCGTTCTTAATTAAGATAATGGAATTCCATGTAAATTGAGTCTTCTTACATTCTGGCATTCATTACTAATTGAGCTAACACTATAAACAATATAATCCACTTTTAAATGTCTCTCTCGGTTTGACCTATTACTCACATTGTATGTTGAGTATGTGTGAATGTTTCTGCTGAAAAGCGCTTAAGATGTATTTTTATCTCCACATAGTAACCTTCCTCCTTGCCAAGTTTAAAACGGATTAAAGAGTTTGCAGCTGCAGAACAATTTGTGCAGAGTATTAATGGTATTAAGGTTTAAAGCGCACATTTCATTTTGCTGTGTCTCATTTGCCTCTCACATTATGTATTAAGCGGGCAAAAACTTCATGTAGAATATCACTTGGTGCACTGATCTGGATGATGTAGATATACAATTGTATTTACGTCCTGTGTTAAAATGTATATTCTTTTGATTTTAGCATTTAATCAAGAAATAAATGATAATAATAAATGCATTTATCTTACACCAGTTACAGATGTGAAACAGTGAAATTCTGTCTTCTAAAACACCTGACATCGTACAGTTGAAAGTCTAATTGTACATATATTTATAAAAAATATTAAAAAATACATAATGGCAGCCTTGTTTGGACTCTATTATTAAAGATTGGAAACTAGCTTTCAAGACATAAGCTAAATTGATTAATATTGTTTTTTTACTATTGTGTTGTTTGCTTAGTGCATGTGAATCCCCCATACTATAACTTTCATAGTATTCATATTTGACTGACGTTGAATTGCTTTAATATGCTATATATATATATATATTGTTTTTTTTTGTTTGTTTTTTGTGTGTGTGTTTCCAGCTGATGCCCATCTATATTCTCTAATTTCCCTATTATACGGCTTTGATCAGATAAGCATGGAAACAGGTTATGCAACTGAGAGAGAGTGTCAAAAAAAAGTAAAACGGCATGTCCCAGCACAATCCCCTTAATTTGCACCACTGAGACTGTACTTCATAATTGTGTCTCACTGTCATAGTTTAGGCACTGATGTCAAAGACAGAATGACTCATTTTACATATTCTATATAATGTGCTCACTCAAAAGTTATTTGAATAACTCTTTGCCTGTCACTTATGTGTGGATTTCTCCTCTGTGTTTTGCAGTTTGCCCCATTGCTGAGTATCTCAGAGGACGAGCATTTTGTGGAGAAGATCCAAGATTCTTGTAACTTTTCTCTTGGCCACATCCTGTTCAAACACATCTCTCTTCTCGTATACCCTCCGCTGTCTGTCCTAGCTGCCTTCTCTTTTTCCTTCTTGCTCAACCAGTCCTCTCACACATACACGCACCTCCCCTCATTCTGGCCCCTTTCTCTTCTTTAGCTCTGCTCTCCGGTTCACCGTCTTCTTTACCTGTCCAAGAAGGACAATCCTTTTTTTGGCCAAATTTGTCCTACACCGTCACTGCATCATTCCCTCGCTTCCCTTAAACCTTCTGTTCCCCTAATGGGCTCCATATCAGACAGCAGTGCCACATTCCCTTCATTGTCACTGAAAACCTCTCTCCACCCCTAACCGCCGCGCCAAGACCAACATCAACGCGACCCAATGGAGACAAAAGATATGATGATGACGAGCATGTTGACAATGGACAAAGGGGAGAATGAGGGAGAGGGGGACAAAGGGAGAGAAGAGGTGGGGGAAGTAGAGGAGGGGACACAACAGGAAAATGGTAGACTGATGCTGGTTGATGGTCTTGCAGAAAAAGGACCCAAGAGTCTGACCTCCAGCTCTGGACAGCAAGTGTCCAATGGCTTCACTACATCCACCCCTCAAAGCCCCACGGAGGGACGAGGGACTGCAGCTAGTTCCGGAGGTACAGCTTCTGGGCCTGGAGGAGGCACCGGGTCCTCAGTGCCACTGGGAGGCCTCAGGACTCTGGTGGTCCAGCAAACCAGCTTGGAGAGGCCCAGAGAAACCTGGAGCAAGAAGATGGACTTCTTGCTCTCTGTGATTGGCTACGCTGTGGACCTGGGAAATGTCTGGCGCTTCCCTTACATCTGCTACCAAAATGGAGGAGGTGAGAAGGCAAAAGATGTTTGAGAGGGGGAGATAAGGAGTGGGTTCAGTTAGAGATACTAGAGTTAGAGCTAGAGTAAACATTATTTCAAAATGTAAAAAAAAAAGGTGTGACTTGTCCTGCAGCACATACTTTAAATGTACAATAGTTATACACATATAATAATTCACAACAAATGTAGCAGCTGAAGTAAGTCAGTTTACTGCCCAGTAACTGTTTCAATCATTAAAAATGGAGACTATCTCTGACACATCATCATTCAAAACAGCTAAATAAAAAGGGCGTAGACATAAGGAATGCTGCAGTTAACATATTTGTTTATAGGAAGCACTTGATCTAGCTCATTTCTTGCACAATCTAATGTATAAAAAGGTAAACTTATGATTTCACAAAGTCCATGTGGTCTGCCTGTGCTCTGTTACTACACAATCCTCACCTAGCGGCAAACAGGGCCTCCCTTTCTACTTTTATTGAATTTGCAATAATAAAATCTTTGCAATTTCCTGTGTTCTGTGTGTGTCTCACGGAGCGAGGTAGAGATGGGGACTGGGAGACACTTGATAGAGGCAACAGTATTAATTGTGGTTTTTATGAGAACGCCTTTAGCCTCTTTCTCCGTGCTTAATAACCTGTCTCCCGGGCAGCTGCTCAATCAACCCTTATCTTTGCTTTCATGTCACAAAGACATGAGACACACAGCGACCCACCCGCATACACATATGCACACATGCACATAAAATAAGTTGATAATCAGATCGAAAGAGAGAAAGAAAGAGAGGGATGTGTTATCGAACTCTGCAAGTTAGGTTGAAGAGACCAAAGATCTGGCTGCCATCCGGCTGCTTCTCTGTTCCTCAGCGTTTGGTCCTCTAATTCCCCTTTCATCACTTTTATATTTTCCTTACTTAGCAATAACAAAGCCAACATTGCAGTAGTCCTAATTTGTCATTGTCAAACCAAATTACCCTCTCACTGTGTGTTTCCACATATTAAATGCAGAGTGATACGAAACTAGGAAAGCATGCCCTGTTGTTTTTGAATGGACTAGGGTTATGTAAATGATAAGGTACTTAAGTATGGGTAAAATGTAATGATTTTTACAGAGTGCTTTTTAATGTTCTTGGTTCATTGGGAGTTATTGAGAGTACTACTGAGAATACAGATGGAGTGTGAACGAGTAGCATTTCTCCTGTGTGTAATTGAGTTTTTACTGTTCGTCTATAACTCTTTCTTTCTTCCAATTATTCCCCCCTCACTTTTCCCCCTGTTTTCATCCCCTATCCAATTTCCTCCCTCCTTTTGTCTCTTCCCAGGTGCCTTTTTGCTGCCCTACCTGTTGATGGCAGTGTTTGGTGGTGTCCCTCTCTTCTACATGGAGCTGGCTCTCGGCCAGTTCCACCGCAGCGGCTGCATCTCCATCTGGAAACACATCTGCCCCATCTTCAAAGGTAACAGGAGTAGTGGAGAGAAAACAGAACAGATGGAGAAATGAGTTAATAGCAATAGCTTGGATTAAAAGGAGAGAACGTGAGAGAACAGCGCTTACCAACAAGAAAATGGTCAGTAAGAGAATAAAAAAGATGAAGAAGGACAGTGTGAAGCTGTCAGCCTGAGAGACAGCTCATTTAACATTCCCTGGGTACAGTTCCCTTGAAGAACATCCCTAGCCTCTTGTACATCTAGTGAGATGTACTGACTCTCTGTTATGGAAATTGTCACATTTCCATGCCAAATGCCAGATGCTCAGAAATGTGATAGTATGTAAATTGTTGTTGTTTGTAAATGTCACCCACTTAACCAACAGCAACTTGAATTAGCTTGAATACACCACTGATGCCTCTTGAAGATAGGAGAAGGAGTGACTGACTAGTGTCACATACTACACACATTTAAAATAAAATATAGATGGAAGGATTTTGATCAAGATAGTTCAAGTTTGAATCTTTCTTAACTCTTTTATTTTGTGCTAACAATATTTTTTCCATTCATTAAGGGATTGGCTTTGCCATCTGCATTATAGCCCTCTACATAGCCTTCTACTACAACACCATCATGGCCTGGGCCTTGTACTACCTACTATCATCATTTCGGCCCACCCTGCCCTGGAGCACCTGCTCCAACAGCTGGAACACTGTCAACTGTAACCTTTACATGTCTACCGACCACAATGTGTCGTGGTCCAACTCCTCCACCTCCCCCGCCGAGGAGTTCTATACGTAAGTGCATGTAAGTCGGATGTAGAGGCGTAGGGGGAGAGCTACACATGAGAGTCAAGTGAGGGAGGGTAGGATGACTTTCAGAGAGCAATTAGGGTTGGTTCTGGTGTTTTAAGAGCCCTGACAGATTTACCACAAGACCTCTCTCCAAAATCCACTTCATCACTGGCAGTGAAGACATAGCAGGAAGAAGTTATTAGAATTTCATTATAAGAATCACTGATCTCATTCCTGATGGTTAGAAGTGCAGGAGTAATATACTGTGAGTAATTTGAGGATCAAAATATAATATTTACTGACAGTCAACTAAAGATAAACATAAAATGCAAAGCTGAAGGAGGAACCATTGTAAAAGAGCTCATATCAAAGACAACACATGATTCATTTAATAGACTTTGGCATTCACTCAGTTCGATGGAGTTGAGGATAGAGCGCTATAAATAGTCGTAGCTCCTTCCAGGGAGCCATAGATGCGTCCTTGCCACTGGTGGTGGTGGAGGAAGACATAAAACAGGAAATATGGTTTAAATATTCTTCAGCTAAGATAATCATTGGATGATAGAAAAGCCTGCAAACGAATCCCAGTGAAATATAATAATTGTCTTCCTGAAGCTAAAAGCTTCATTTAATGTATTACAAAGCTACATATCTATAGAGAGAGAGTATATCAACATATATGTACTGATAATCAGGGGTCACTTAGCCCATGATTTTCATAGGCAAACGTTAAATGATAAAAGTAATAAATTGAATTCTTCAATATTAACTTTGTTGTGAAACAGATGTGTCAAAGTTATGATTCTATTTCACTAATGTTGCTGCAAACAATTTGTGCTTAAATAGATATTACAACAAACATATAAGGCTCTCAGTTCACTCTGAAGTAGCATGGCCAAATATGAACTTCCCTTTTGGTTAAAGGAGCAGGTGGAAAGATCTGTTGGCTTTTTGGATTATTGGTAAGATAAATACATAGATGAGATGGTAACATGACATGACGAATCATTGGAGCAGAATTCAAAATTTCCATTTCAAATTGGGTCCCTTAGTTACAAATAGGCTCTATTATTACAAAAAACATTAACAATTACTGACATGAAATCTAAACAGATTTATTATATTATTGTATATCTTTGGCATGTTGCTTTCACAGTAATTAACTTTGTATTTGCTTTTACTGTAAAGTAAAACCCGAGCTGTGTCAGAACAATGAGTTTCTTATTCTTGACTGTTTTGGGTCTACTGGCTCAGTCTTATCAGCTGCTCAGTAGACCGTGTCTGTGTCTGTCGACCGAGACAGATTCAGGGTTTATCCGTAGTTGACTTTTCCTAATACAGGTTTAAAAGTAACAAATTCCGCAACTCAGCCTGGCGCCAGAATTTCCTGTTTTCAACATAAATCACGTCTCTGTTTTATCGTCCAAGCTCTGTGTGCTTAACCTGTGACCAGATGTTAACCTCACTGTTCATTTCAGCCTGCTTCTGCTTTTTTGCCCTGTAGTGTGTTTTTTACTTTGGCTTGTGTAAACTGTTTCTGTTTATTGACATAAATTTGCTTTAAAGCATCCCCATTACTGCTTGTTTATCATTCTTATATTAAACCAAGAGTTTATACCCCTGTATTTTCCACTTCTGCCCTGTTCACTACTCCTTTCAACCCCCCACGCATATCTTTATTTTTACTTTCTTTATCTTTCTTTATTTCTTGCTTTTCCTTTCTATATCACATATCCTTCCTTCCATGCTTTGTCTTTTTCCTCTGCTTTCCAAACATCCTTTCTATCCACCCTATCTTTGTATTCTCACTTTTTCTTATCTTCTCTGCTCTGTCACTTCTTATTATTCTCCACATTTTCTTCCTTCCTTTTACCTCCCTTTTCTCTCCTCTTCTCCCTCCTTGTTCTTCTCGACTATTATTTCCTCTCTTTACATGCAATTTTACCCCTTTTCACTTTCTATTCCTTCCTCCCCTCTTTGCACCCTCTACAACTTCACCTTTTAACCCCAACATCCCTCCTACTTCGTTTCCTCCCTCCAGTCGCCAGGTGTTGCAGGTTCACCTCTCCCCAGGTCTGCACCAGCTGGGCTCTGTCAGCTGGCAGCTGGCCCTCTGCCTGCTCTTCATCTTCACCATCGTCTACTTCAGCATCTGGAAAGGAGTCAAGACGTCTGGAAAGGTAACTGAAGGGGCGCCTGTATGGCTGATGAGGGTGTCAGTTAGAGTGGATGGATGGATAAATGAATGGATAGATAGACTGATGGAGCCAGAGGGGCAGATACAAGGATGGTTGTTCTGCTGTCGTCTCTTCAATCTCAGTATCATTTATCATTACGGGTAAAAAGCAGCAAAGCAGGTTCGAAAGGTTTAAAGCTAAATGGTTTGTGGTTCAAACATCAACAGCCAAACTTTAAAAGGCCTCTAGAAGTTTTCTTACATGTTGTATTTCTGTCCATACTTTTGATAAGGGAGTGATTGCGTCATACTACACAGCATATTACAACAGCTGGTTATGGTGACACATTATCCAATGTCTCACAGGGCTGCTTTCATCTGTGGTGGTCCAACTTTGGTCCAACTTTAGCTGTTTTATCCAATATTGTTTGCACATGAAGCCACTGAATGCACTGTACTACTCCAGAGGGAGCTATGTGAAATCAGATGAATTGACTTTGAGTCAGAGACAGTCGGGGCTGGAGACTACAAGTTTGAATATGAAAAAAAACCTTGGGGTGTGGAGATAGAAGTGAGCTACATTAGCCGCTACTATGTACGTATCTATGTATATGTAGAAATAATAATGAGGATATCTCTGGTTCTGCTGTCCAACAATGTTTTAAGTGCAGTACTAGGAGTAAGTTATTTAGTCCTTGAGTCCTTGCTGCAGGCAATTAAAGCCCCCCAAAAAATAGTTAAGACCAAAAGCCAACAAAATCTACAGCAGTTTACTTTATTAAAATTTAATTTAATTTAAAATACCATACAGATGTTCCTAAATAACCCCTGGTTCATAAGAGGTGATGTATGTTATGGTATGTTTTCAACAACCCAGCAAGTCTTACCATTATTTTTCAAAAAGTGATTATTGAGTAAGACTGGATATCAGCTACTCTGACTGACAGTTTATCAACAGAAAAGTGAGTTGTTTCGTGTTTCCTCTTTTCTACAATAGGTAGTTTGGGTGACTGCTACCTTTCCCTACCTGGTCCTCCTGGTGTTGCTCATTCGGGGGGCCACTCTGCCAGGAGCCTGGAGGGGTGTGGTCTTCTATCTCAAACCTGATTGGCAGAAACTGCTTAGCACTACAGTAAGTCAGTTGGTGCAGCTAGTCTTTCTTTAATATTCTCTGTTTTACATTTTAATGTTGCTGTTATCTTGACACAAACTTGTCTTAACATACATCGCTCACCTTCATCAACTCTCTGAGGTGTGGATTGATGCAGCAGCTCAGATCTTCTTCTCACTGGGTCCCGGATTCGGCGTGCTCCTTGCCTTTGCCAGCTACAACCCATTCCACAACAACTGTTACAAGTGAGAGTTTTTCAGTAGTCTAGTCTAACGAGTCTAAATAGATTAGCAGATTCTCAAAGATTCATATTTGTTAGACATTCTCTCTAAGTCTGTTGTCTTCCTGCCACCCAACCCTCTCCTTTCTCTATCTCAGAGATGCTTTGGTCACCAGCTCTGTGAACTGTCTGACTAGCTTTCTCTCTGGCTTTGTCATCTTTACCGTGCTGGGTTACATGGCTGAGATGAGGCATCAGGATGTGGATGCTGTGGCCAAGGATGCTGGTAGGACAACACACCAAAACAATCCTAAATACACAATTTACCAGAATCTCCTTGTGACAAAGTGTTGAATGGAGCACCTACTGCACACATTTGCTGTTCTAGGCCCGAGTCAAGCTCCTTACTGTTTGAGGTCTACAAAAATACAATTGTGAGGATGAATGTAACATCAAACTCTCTTTCAACCTGCCTCTTTTTTTCCTTCCAGGTCCCAGTCTGCTATTCATCATTTATGCAGAAGCCATAGCAAACATGCCTGCTGCTACTTTCTTTTCCATCATCTTCTTCCTCATGATCATTATGTTGGGTCTGGACAGCACGGTTAGTTTGTTGATTACTCATTTCTGTGCACAAGTCAAGACACCCAAGTTAGTGTTCTGTTTGCTAAATGTTCTTTTGATCACCACTTGTTCCTCTCTCTTGTTATAATCTACCTGTTCCCAGTGCCCAGCACTTACATGCTCTCTCAAACCTAGAAACAGAGGTTTCATATTTGCCTTGTTATGTAGGCAAACGCCATGTTCTGTTTGACTTGTGTTTGCCTGTTGTACTTGTTGCTCCATAAAGGTTTTGGGTATTATTTGTCCTCACTGTTCCATTTTGGAAACAGTCAATGAAAACAATGTGACAGGACTTTCATATCACTGTTGTGTGGAGATCTTGTCTCCATAAGCCTGTGTTTATCTGCTCTGAGGCAGCCAGCTGGAGACACCCATAAGGCTCTTATCATGTACTGATAATCAGTGTAGAATCAGCATCGGGGTTACTATGCTCCTCCATTTTATGACTGAGGATATTACTGCGAAACGTGCCGGTATACTTCAGATTCATGTTGGCACGGCTTAACATTTAGTCTCTTCATTTTTTTGTCATTGTGTGAAGGTTATGATACACAAGGTATTTTCTGTAGTGTGGGTCGTCAAAGGAGTGACATGCTACTGCTGGACTGATTAGATCAAACTGCTGATCAACAGCCTCTTGATAGCACTTAACATTCTTAAGACTCTCAATCGAGGGAATATGTACAGTATAATGTTTCCTTAATAAGTGGTTATGGTTTTAATTTCTTTCCTCATCGTCTCCCTGTTTTCTTAAATTATGCACCCTCTGCTGAGTTCTCCTCTGCTTATTTCTTTCTCCCTAACCTCGCTGGTGTCCTCCTCTCTCCAGTTTGCAGGATTGGAGGGGGTGATCACAGCTATGCTAGATGAGTTCCCTCATATCCTGGTTAAGAGACGAGAGTGGTTTGTCTTTGGCCTGGTTTGTGTCTGCTACCTCGGGGCTCTCTCCACACTCACATATGTAAGTTAAATAACCATATTACATATGTCGTACTATCAAAATATATCATAAAAGCACAATTCTCAATCAATTTAGATTTGAAAAGACCCTTTAATATCACAGGTAAATCATTAATTTATCCTACATGACTGATAATCCACTACTACTAATTTTTCACAAATCCCCATTTAAATATATCATAGACCAATGAAATAGCTCATGTTGTTCAAGTGTATCTTAAATGGTACTCCTGTGTTTTAGTTAATGTGATGGACTGTAGTTAACAATTAGCTGGAATCAGATTAGAGCGGTCTCTGAGCAGTAATCTGTTTATCTGTATCCCTCATTATAGTAAGGTTAGGTAGTGACCAACATGTGCCCCTGCCCCATGAAACACTCCGCAGTCTTGCATAAGAGTCATTTGTGCATAGCTTTACAGAAAGAATCTCCCTCTCTGTCTGGTGTCCTGTGTCAGGGAGGAGCGTTTGTGGTGAAGCTGTTTGAGGAGTACGCTACAGGCCCTGCAGTCATCACTGTGGTCCTGCTTGAAGTCATCGCTGTTTCCTGGTTCTACGGTAAGTCTGAGTGATGATGATTGTGATGATGATGGTGATAATGTGCAACCTTATTGTAAATGATACTCTACGGTTGTCTCCTCAGCTCTTTGTCTATTTCCTTGTGACTGGAACTGCACAGATATACATGAGAGAAAACAAAGATGCACTCCTGATATTTGGGATTTGGTGTTGATTGTGTCTGTGTGTATTCCAGGTACCAACCGTTTCTGTAATGACATCGAGGACATGCTCGGTTTCTACCCGGGTTATTTCTGGAGGGTCTGCTGGGTGGCCATCTGCCCCTGCTTTCTGCTGGTGAGGCTCATGTATTTACACACACACACACACACACTTATGTGAAATGCTGTAAGGAGCAATTGTGAAGCAAGCACATGAAGATACAATAGTTAGAGCAGCTGCTATTTACTTATTAGCTTTCAGAATAGTTTTGTTTTACTTTTCCTGATGTTTGATCCTTATACTTCTGCTTTTGTTCCTGTGTCCAGTTCATCATCATCAGTTTCCTGGCCTGCCCTCCAGAGGTCAGGTTGTTCAACTACCACTACCCGCCATGGACCACTGTCCTGGGCTACTGTATCGGGGTGTCCTCATTCATCTGTGTGCCTGCTTATATGGTCTACCACTTGCTCAACGCTAAGGGCACATTCAAACAGGTACAGCATCTCCTTTCCCTTCCTTTCCTTTACCTTAGATGCCAAGTGGATTATCTACATGGTTTCCCATTCCCATGTCCACTTGCTGTGTCCTCCTCCTCACCCATATCCTCTCTTGCCCTTTGTCCTCGTACTGATACGTCTCCAATGACAGGGATTGCCTCTATTTCTATCCTTTCCATGCACTGTCAGGGTCTACCCTCTCCAGTGAGTACATGATGGGAGATCAGATCAGGATCAAAGGAGCACGGAGGAGGCACAGGCCAGAGATTAGCAAGAAAAAAAGCTGTGACAACTTCCAGGCCCCATAGATCTTACACACACATGCATACACACAGGGCACTACCTGATTACACACACACGCATCCACATTCTGCAACGCATGTGTAGGCTGTCACGTAGCCAGATTTGAGGATGAAGGCTCTACTAAAGGAGACCAGGCTTGTGCCATCAGCAGCGCTATAGCATGTGAATGCCCTGCATAACAAAATAAGTGTAGTCAACCGCCCTTCGAAACATATTCAAAAGAACAGTTTTAGATTTATATTTGATTCTATTTTTGAGCTAATCATCTTCAAATCTAACCTACCTAAAATGTTCAGATGTGTATTTGCTCTTTGTAGTGTATTTTGAGCCCTTTGTAACAATAAATACAAAATATCTTTGTCATTATCATCATCAATATTATCTTAAAACACCCTTTGGTAGAGTTGACAGAAGGTAGGAGGACATCAAAGAGGCTGATAGAGAGACCTTCTTTGGCCGTTGTCCAGTATTGACACTGCTGCCAGGACACACAATGGCACTGACACACGCTGTCAACACATGGAACTTGTGTTTTTTTTGTGAGCATGTGAATGTGAAAGAGAACAGTGTCAGGCCGAGCGAGGTCAAAACATCTGTGTCTCTTTGTAGCAAGGCTGTGTGTTTGTTCACTCTCCTGTAAACTCGCTGTTGGTGATGATGATGATGATGATGATTCTTGCTTCGGGTTCCCGATTCTGTACCAAACAATGTTTTGATCAAGTCAGGTGGGTTTTACTAAAAGGATGAGTCGATCATATCATATCGATCAATAAAAAATGTATCTGCCACAATTTTGATAATTGATTAATCCTTTAAGTCATGTTTTTAAGCAAAACTGTTAAATATTCACTGGTTCCAGTTTCTCAAATGTGACTAGTTGCTGGTTTCCTCAGTTGTCTATGATTGTAAACTGAATATCTTCGGGTTTGGAGCTCTGGGAAAATGCAATGGACATTATTTACTATTGACATTTACAGACCAAGACAATAATACGACCAATCAAAAAAATGATTGGCATGGTTAGTTGCAGCCCTATATGAAATGGTATTAAAAAAAACTACTGAAACAATGCATAGTTTACACATTTGGCACTAGTTAAAAGTCTTGAATATTTCATTTTATTTCATTGCTCTTCAGAAGGATTACAGCTCCTGTCTCTAACACACCCGACAAAGACTAAGTCAATCATAACCTACTGCAATAATGTTAGTTGCACAAGAATATTCTGACCTGCTTTGTGCTTTAATCCTTGACAGTTTCCAGGTTTATATCAGTTTAATTTACTCCCTTTCTTCTTCTGTCCCTAATCTTTCCCCTGTGTGTGTCTCTTTCTCTTTACTCCCAGCGTCTGTTAAAGAGTATCACTCCAGAGCCCAGCAGTGCCCAACACAGAGACTTCATTGTCACCAATGCAGTCTGACCAAACCCTGGCCAAAAGAAGGTGCCACTCTAGCGACATAGAGCGCCCTCTTCTGGACAATCTGCAAAACTACAGGACAAGGGGGCTACCTTTCACCATCTTTGCCTCTTTTCATTATCTCCCACACTTGTTTTTAGCTCTCTCACACCAGGATGTAGAAACAGAGGTGGAGTTAGGTGGAGCCAGGCTGCAGTAGCTTTGTTTAGCTTGGTTTAGTTTGGTTCTTTATGCTGGTTCAGTTTTGAAGGAGGTGTTACTAAACCCAGAGATTAGTGTCAGTATCTTTAGCATCAACATCCTCTCTCTATTTAGTGTTACCTAAATCATTTAGTGACCGACCTTCTTCTTCTTCAGGTTATATAGTTGTAACAAATATTTTATACAATTATATAAAGTGTGATACAATCTATGTTCATGTAGACAATAAAGTGGAGATACTGCACATAGAAATCAGTTAAAGAAGGCTAGATAGTTACATTTCAGTCTCCTCTCACTGTTTATGGTTGTATTTTCATATTATGCTGTTAAGTCATGCATTCTTATATGTAGCAAAATTCAGGTATCTTTTTACATCTGTTACTGAAGCCAAATATATGATATCTGTTCTGTTCATATTTCTAAAGATGTTTCAATATTGTAGTTGTCGTTACGTTGTGTTGAATGTCAGCCTGTGTTTATTTGGTGACATCTTGGACAAACGACGGATTTGCAATGAGTTCCCTACACTGTGAAGCACTGTCTGCTGGTGACATGAATGTGTGTGCGTGTGAGTGTAAAAGAAAAGACTGTTATAATGTCCAATGGAAAAAATGGATCACAGACAGAACCAATCAAGTGTATTCATTCTGTGACTGCAATATGAGATGTGTATTTATTTTATAATGTATCATTGCTGTCGTTCTACCTGCCACACTTCAGTATGACAACCCTAACATGACATAGTGCTGATGGTCCTTCTTTGGTTTAATCACAGTCACATGTCATACTGCATAACTGTCAGTAATAGAAACCAAATATGGATCAGAGCTAATAACATTATCAATGGCGTAGTCCGAAAATCAGCATTATTGCTCTTTACTTTCTACCAAAAATCTGTTTGTGTGGTGTGTGCATGTGTCTGTGTGTGTGTTTGTGAGAGTGTATGTATCTGTGTGTGTGTAGGAGCAGGAGTTAAAATATGGCGAGTACTGTACATCATGTGTATTATGATTACTGGTCAGTCTGGTATTGGTGTAATCTATCCTGTGAATACCTGTCTCCTCTCTCCATGGAGGTGTGTGTGTGCATGAGTGTTTAGTGCTTGTGTGGGCTTGAGTGTTTTGTGTGCGTGTGCGTGTGCACCTTGATTAGTGTGTTGGTGCACATATGGATGGTTGTGAAAAAAGGATTAGAGGTGTTCAGCCCCTTTATGTATGCATGCCGTGATGTGTGTGTATACTGTAGTTCAAATGTGTGCGTGTGTGTGTCTGTAATGTGATCTCCTGTTGTCTTGTTGACTGCCAAAATATATTATGAAGGAAGTAAACTCCCTCTTGCCTCTCTCTCTCTCGTACCTCTCAAGCTTATGTAAGATCTATGTATGTCAATAAAAGACTGTATTGAGAAATACACCTGTATAGAATAAAGATATATAAATATATGGGAAATAACAGATAATAAAGATATATGGAAATCAATAACCTCTGGCATCTGTTAGTTGATTATTTTATTTGTTTATCCATTCAGTTGTATACACTATTTAACACATTAAAGTGTGTTTTATTTATTTTATCCTCTAAGGGGTCAGTATATGATAACATATTTCAAGTATGTACAGTAACAGATATCTTTATATAGTTATATAGATATAACTATAGTAACTAAAGTTTTTGTTTTAGATCCAAAACTGAAAGAGGAAATAAAGTTTGGATCACAGCTGTGCAATAAAACACTCCCCCTGTTTCACATCTTCAGTCCTGAGAAAAAGTGTTACAGAAGTAACAGGAAAGTTCTGACCGGAGCAGTATTACTTTATAAGTTGTGTATCCACTGTATTTATTAATTTATTAAATTATGTATTTTGAGAATATAATGCATATGCTAATTAAAAATATGCATTAAAAAATGAATATTTGCAAGCAATTTATAACAGTACTGGATTTTTTCTTACCCAAATCAAGGGTCTAAGAATAGAGGGTGTCCTGTGCTTTACAAATAAAGCCCCCTGAGGAAAGTATGTAATTTGAAATATTGGTCTACATAAATACATTGAAATGACTTTAGATTTTCTGTAATAAAGTGAAACAGGGAAATAACATTTGATATCACCTCTAGAGCTAGGTCGATACAGGAATCTATAGACACATACCTCAAACATTATTTATAAGAATATATACAATACAAGCAAGACATCTCACAGCCAAAGAAATGAACCAGTCTGTTAGACAAACTACATATGTAATAGTGACACCACCTCCAAACAGATAAAACTATCTTTGGGATTTTTACATTGATAGTTCTTGTCATTTATATATCTGCAACAGGCCCACAATGGACAGCCTTTCTTCCCGGCCTTGGCAATCAGTTGTAGTTCTTTCAAGGGTCATAATTTCCCCCTTACCCTGAGTAGTATCTGCCCATGCAAATATTTTTCCTTCTGTCATTCATTCTTTGTCTTTTATATCTTAAAACCTCAAAAAATAAAACTGAAACTCTTAAATAACCAGATACCCCACTGCTGTGGGAAAGGCTTGTGTTTTCTGTTAAATCTCTCGCATTTTACACTTCGCTCTGCCAAGAAGACTGAAACGAGCAGAACCTGTTGGGCGATCTGCACTGAAATCTGCCTGAACTCATGCTTTACCACGCGTTGGTAAAATGTTGACACACATCACAACTAGTGAGTGGCCCACATGTGGCCACGAGATCAGTAGGTTCTTTATCCAAGTGGCTCTTTGTAAGGTTGCCCTGTGTGTCACTGTTTACTGATCCCGTGTGTTTATAGAGGGTTGCAACTTCATTCTTAGTGACTGCATAATGAGCTCAGAGATCCCGTCTCGCTTGACTTGTGTCAAGCGAGACGCATAACATCTGGAATGCAATGTTTTATCTATGAAAAACATGTGAAAGCAATTACAGCGTGCTCATTTATGGAAAAGCCTGTTCCGGCTGTAGTAGTAGTAGAGTTGAATTCATGTGTAGCATTGAGCCTTTTTAAACACTGGCTACCCCATGCTGTCGGGACAATTATTGTTTTTCTGTCAACCTGAGTGCATCCGTGTGTGTGTGTGCGTGTGTGTGCGTGTGTACATATGTGCACAATGGTTCCTTGTCAGCACTGATTAATCCCACAACTGAAATCTACAATCAGCAGCTTCAGCAAACAGTCTTGGTCATGCACACACGCACAAACACACACACACACACTAGAGCATGAAGTAAAAAAAAAAGCATGCGTGTTTGATTATAGTATTGCTGAGAGGATGATCTTCAGCTCACCCCACCTGAGCCTGAGCCAATGTACAACAGATGTGCAGTAATACATTATGTAGCTGGTGAGTACAGTACATCCTGAGGGAGTGAGAAGAAAACTTTTAGAGAAGTGTCATTATTTCAGCATGTACTAGTTCCTGCTTTTCACACATCAGCCAGGTCTGAAACGGAACTCAGAACGGACATTTCTTTGGTTTAATTGCAACTGGCGGGCATGGATGTGCACATTTCTCCTATATGTGTGAGTGTGTGAACTTTATTGTGGCAATTTCCTCTGAGCTCCCTTTCCCTGACTGATGGACACATCCTGTGTTCTCTGTCTTGCCTTATCGCTGCAGATCTATATTAAACAGCGCAGCACAGCCAGCGTATCCCTCCACCCCTGCTGTACCTGTCATCTCAGCATCTGCCTAGCTGCCTGCCTGCCAGCCTCTATCACTATCAGGTGTCTATCAAGACCCCCAGCTCATTTCATCTATTTTCCCAGTTCTCATATCTTCTTATTTTTCTTCTTTCTTATATTAATTTGGGCATGGCAACCTGGGTTTTGTCTGTGTGTGCATGCATGTGCCTGTACTCTTTCTCAAACATGTCTGTGGATGCTGTCCTTTTGAGAAATCCCTCATGGATTCTGTTTAGCCTTTTGCACTCTGATAACCCTAATACTTCATTGCAGCAACTCACTTTGACTTTCCACTTTCCAGAGAGCAGCTGAGTTTGACATATCTTTCAACTCTCTTTCTGTCTGTCTCCCCTCAGTTCTCGATATAAATATTTTTTGACAGCGATCCCGAGGGTCACTCTTTTTTTTCTGACAGAAAAATCCTGGCATTTACTTCTCTAACTCGCTCCGTCTGTCCTCTCCCTGTCTCTCTATTTTTTCCTCTAGCCAGCCTCTCTGCTGATCTCCAGATACTGCCGCTGCTTCTGAAGAACAGGAAATGAAACTCCTTTTTTCCCTCCAATCTGTTGCTCCCACCCTTTATCACACAGAGACCTTGATTCCCAGCAATGGCTGTCTCTCACTCCCCTAATGAACTCATTTTGCACGAAGGGAGAATACCATCTTATCTCTGCAGAGTAGACCCCCCCCCCTCTCTGACACACACTCTCTCTCTCTCTCTTTTCCCCATTGCTTGCCTCTCCTGCCTTCTCAGTTCATATAACAGTTGCCAAGATACACTGAGAGGTCCTTGATCTGTTGTCTTCTCATTACAGGTGAGGAGATGAGAAAGATGTTTGAGAGAGTGAAATGATCTTTAATAGTAACTCTGAAAAGCATTGGCTCCATTATTCATGTATTATAAAAGTGTTGTTGTACAATATCATTTGTTTATGTCATGTCAGGTGACCATTGTTCATTCCCAGTAGAAGAAAACGTTCTAAACAAGTTTATGTTCAAGCCAGTGTCAGCCACTCAAGTAAAAAGTATGAATGTATATATATTGTATTCAGTACAAAATGACATGAATAAAAATGACTGATGATTTCATACACAACCATGTGTCTTGTATTGAAGCATCTGCATACGTTACCACGTCAAATGTTGATGCTGTTAAATATACTGTGACGAGGGTGACAAAGATGTGGTAAAAAGGCAATCATAAGCCTTGAAACAGCTAAAGCAGTTTGATAATCGATGTTTAGTGTCATTTTGAAAAGTTAGGGGCTTCACTCAGATGGTCCTTTTCCACCTCCTGGCTGCATGGATGAGGTATTAACAATGCAATATAATAATAATGACAATAACGTTGAGGGGGATTCTGAGTAGATACGTTTTTGGGGCTGTGGTCTTGTTTTCTATCAGCCTCTAGTTGTTTTCTGTAGATATTTGGATAAATCCTTTCATTATCTTTCTTGGTTAAAGTGCCTGCTGTGACACAGAATGACTGGTCACTAACACTATCCACTTCTTTCGATACAATGAGACAGGCTTAAATGAGGATAGCAGATAAGATGAAAGTTCATGTGAAAGCTTTAAAAAACTGGAGGAAGATCAGTGGGACAACTAACCCTAATCCAATCACATAATTTACACTGCCGATCTTTTTAACCAAAGTATACCGATTTTTACATGCCTTGGTTCCTGGCATTGGTTTTCATTTAATTAAATCTGCTATTAAAATGATGTTGAAGTGACATGAAACTTCATTCATCATTGAGATTCTTAATCCTCCATAATTAACATTTGACTTTTGTGTGTGTGTGTGTGTGTGTGTGTGTAAGTTATATCTTATATGTTATTTTTGCATGCAGACGTTACTGTATAGAGCTATCTGTGCTCTCTGCTCTATATTTAGTTAGCATTCAACAAAATGCTAAAGTAACTGTTGCATTGTATGGTTTAAATAACATGTTTCTTTCTTGCAAATATAGGACTCCTAATCCCCTAATCATTTACTTCAGACTGTGGACGTCATGTTCCAACTTTTAACCCAATAATGTCGACAGTGGAATTTTATAATTTCCTTTGCAGTACTTAAAGTACTAACTGAGGTATGCACAAATCTATTTAAATGTTTCAACTCAGTTTAAGTATGAGACTACAGCACAGGCTTTTCTTTGCACTTTTTAATCTCACTTGGGGTAGCTTTTTTTATTTTTAAGAAAACACCTCTAGAATAATAGGTTAGGAATTTCAGAACGTCATAATTTTTGATATACATACTTTCTGGACTGTTAAAATATAGATTCAAAATGAAAAATGATCTATTGCTTTTCCTTGGTCCAATATTTCCATTTTGCAGACCTGAGAGACATTTTATAATGTATTCTTATGGGATAGAATTAGTAACCCCTAGCGACTAAAGACTAATATAGTGAGTTGCAGAAATGGCTGTATCTCAAAAAATACACTGTGTTATTAGAAAAAGGTTGGTACCATTGGATTCAGAACAACTTCAGTTTCAATAATATGTGCTTTTGTCCTGTAAGTCTGACAGTTATATATATATATATATATATTTTACCTTAACATACTAAATATGGTTGTTAGTCATGAATGGGTTAATACTTCTGCTTCTCCATATTCCCAACAGAGTCTCTCCACAGGGTCACAGCAGGATGAACTCAGCTGCAGCTAATAAAAGTGATATTAGATGAGTTGGATTTAGGTATTTCGAAAATTCAGAGAGCAGTTAGCTCTATGAGTCACACCACGGGGATACAATATGTTGTTGCAGCC